TTGGCGTTGCACGGATTCAATTTTGTCGCTGTGAATTTTGTGGAATGGAAGCCATACCATGTCGCAGTAATCGAGGTGCGATTGAACTAATGCAAAATACAGCGACTTTAGTGTGGTAACGTCGGTGATATCATGGCAGAAGCGTTTGACAAAGCCAAGCGCAGCCGTTGCCTTCGAAGTGACCATGTCGATGTGTTTGGCAAAAGATAGCTTTCTGTCAATTAGAACACCCAAGTCCTTATGTTCAGTCACTTTGTCGAAGGTGTGGCCGCCATAGGTGTAGTTTTTATGGAAATGCTGACGTTTCTTGTATATAGACAGCACTGCACATTTGTTGAGGTTAAGGTGCAGCAGGTTCACATCACACCAATGCTTAAGTTTGTCAATGGCTTGTTGCAGTATCTCCGAATCTTGCTGAGATTTGATGATTTTGGCAATTTTGATATCGTCAGCAAACAGTAATATCATGATGTCCGGGGGCATTTGATCAACGATGTCGTTGATGAATAGCAGGAACAGTGTCGGGCCCAGATGGCTCCCCTGTGGGACACCCGACGACGCTGTAAAATCGTCCGACTCACTTGCTCCATGCTTGACGAATTGAACGCGATTTTCCAGGTACGACTTGAGCCATGACAGCAAATTTTGAGGTAGATTGAATGACCTCAATTTTTGAATCAAAATGCTGTGATCAACTCGATCGAAGGCTTTCGTAAAGTCCGTGTACAGGACATCAACTTGAGCTCCAATGTTCAGGCCACTCTGGGCGTAGTACACAAACTCGGTTAGGTTTGATGCTGTAGATCGTCCTTTCATAAAGCCATGTTGGTTAGGCGAGATGCGATCACGAACAGTTTCAAGCAAGTTTACGTTGACGAGGTGTTCGAAGAATTTAGCGATCGTTGGTAATTTTGCTATGCAACTGTAGTTTTCAATGTCCGATCTGGCGCCCTTTTTGAATATGGCTGATACACTCGATCGTTTCCACTCGTCGGGAAATTTCATTGAGTAAAACGTGTCTCCTGCGTGATTAATGTAAATTTCATCATAACTCTTCCAACCTCATCGGAATTGTTTTTCCACGAAAGCTGGAATTTTATGTGAAATACTGAATGAAAATGGGTAAAAGTGGTAATGTTTAATTTTTATTTGAAGAAAATGTATTGCAATCAACGAACACTGAAGGTAAACCCCCGTTTAAGAAAAGAAAAAGATGGCCCTCATACAAACTTTAGATCTATTTAATGATGCGCGCCACACAGTTTCAAGACCTTCCGTCTTTTCTGAAATGTTGCTCGCCAAGTGAAAACCACAGTTCGGCCGTTGATGTGTTGTAAGTTTTGAACTAGTAATTGCATTGTTGTCCAAATTTATATTTTTAGCCTGTTTTGGTACTTTGCCCGCTAAATTTCCGAAATGAATTTTAAGGAACCTCAGTTCACTTTTCATCATAAATTATTCATACTACGATTGATGCTTATGTTTCATAGCATACGGGAAAAATTTCAATAAAACTTATGATTATTACATTTTTCGTGAATGAGAGTATTGAGAGCAAAATAAATAATATGGTACAAATGCAAACATTCATGAATCACTGGAATGAGGTAATGAAACTGATATTAAAGCCTTCATCATTATGATGCATTTGCGAACGCACATTTTCTTCTCCGAATCATACGAACGAACGTCTTGGTCGATTGATGAATAATTTTTTCAGCCGTATCAGATAGCTTGGAGAATGGAGATATAGTAAGTGTAACGTATATGGTTTGGATGTTCGGCGCAGGCTCAGCGTTCCATCCAATCATCTGCTTTGCTCTATTCACTTCGGTTGAACATTTGGTACGTGTTTTATATGGATCGATGACTATGTCACTCCGATACTTATACGTAGTGTTTGTTTTTGCGTCTATGTTGTACGTCAACGTAAAGTAAATCAACCTTTGAATTTTGTTCCTACCCGAACTTGACGCATCATTTTACAAATCTTTAGAAAGGCAATGGACATTGCAAAACTAAAATGTAAATAAGATGTGCATTTTATCACGTCAAACGTCGTTTTTTTATCATTGAAATTCTTCGACTCCGTGCGTACCTGCTTCTTTGCGGTTTCCTCTCTAACCGGTCTTTAACGAGAAACTCTCTGATTTACATCTTATTCAGTAGGTATATGACTCATTTTTATTGACCCAGATCGTTCAATAAGCTATAAATATCGATCTTTAATAATGATAAGCAATATTTTTTACACAGCTCGAATTTCGAGCCTCAAATATCTCGTAACATAAAATATACTTTAATAATATGAAGGTCAAAACTCTTCAACCTGACAATTTCCCCATAAGGCCAATTCCTTATGTGTAGATTTAGTGCTCATTTAGTGCTATTTAGTGCCACCAATTTCAAATGTGCTTCAACTGGGAGCGAGTTATGGGCATCGGCGTTTTGGGGGATGACGAAAATAGGGGTCTATGGGTTTTTGACCTAACATGAAGCTTAATTTATTCACAAAGAAACTTAATCCAAGCTAGTATACACTTACACACCCTCTTGTTTGTCTCATTAGCGAAAATAAATCGAAAACGAAAGCCGCGTTCCGTGTACAATTTGAATGAATACCAATAAAAAGTGGAATATTCATGTTTTATCGTGCAACGGAAATAAATTTCAAATCGATAAGAGTTGAGTTCGCGTCACAATATTTCCATGAATTTTATCCATTAGTCAGTTACCTGAGTTCAAGTTGAAAAGATAGAAACTTTCCAAAATAATGATGAAATACTTTATTTTTGTGTTAAGGAAACTAAAGGTGATGTACCTGAGCGAATTACTCCTATTGGTACTCTACTGAGAGATGTCATCGTTTATGTGCTCTTGCATCTGAAATTATACCTGCGTTCGTGCATTTGGCTCCACCTGACAAAGACCTATCGCTGAGAACAATTGTATCAACAATTGCACATATAACGGAACCAAATGCCATCACAGTGGTCACCGCTTTGCTTCAACTGGTTGGCATCGATGCTAAAACAATTCCTGCAGTACAAACGTTATCATCACCAATTTCTCGATTAAAAATTGATGCTAATGATATTATCGACAATTTACTAAGTTCGATTCCAAATGGTGCCAAAACAATTACTGTTTCCACATTAGCCAATTTAATTACATTAGACAAGTAATTGGCGACTTTTTTGCCGATTTTTCAACGAAGGTGTGTGTTATTGAATTGAACTATGTATATAACTTCAAGTAAGGGATATAAGTCTGGAATATAAGATATAGCTTATATAAAATAGCTTGATGCACATAGCTAAAATGAAGATTCATCATTATAAAGAATAATAAAAATGAACTGGTTTAAAATTTCAAATGATTAAAGTCAAAAAGTATTTTTATTTATTTACTTTGTGTATGAATCATCAGAATATTCCTATTCTTGCTATCGTAAACTTTTTTTCAAATGATGCTATTTTCTGTGGTTTGCATAATGAAAAAAAAACCAAATGTCTTACTAATACGAAGCAGTTTTCATTGGGTAACTTTTCTAGTCATGAGATGTAACTCAATTGTAAGCCAAAAGACTGTTTTGAAATTTTGAAATTATAATATGTGGATTTATCGCGTTGAAACATGGCTCTTCAGAAATTTTCATCGATGCATTATTTTGAAGAGTTATACAGAGCTTCTGAAGCAGGGTCCGGGCTGGAGACAATGTCAATTTTTTATGTTGACAATGTCAACTTGATGGTAGTATGGTAAAATGTACTAACATAGCACCATGTAGCGAAGCGTTTGTTGTGTCAAATTTGAAATGTATTGGAGCGGGGCATTTCTGTGTCCAATTTTTTTCACCCCTCTGTATAGTGAACCTTCAGAAGCTCTGAGAGTTACATGATACATATCATGGTTTTTTAGAAATTCAATGCTTTCACCTTGAAAAGAAATAATTCCGTTTAAACATATAACCTCTTCTAAAAATAGATATGATTCCTATACGAATGCATGAGGGATAAAAATAACGTTCTCAGATAACGAACATACTCATGCGTTCACTTACATATTCTATTGTTTATCCTATTTATTCGAGTGACGTCGGCAAGTCCTCACCTACATGGATGTGACGTGAATGTAACGTTGATATTTGTAAAATACGTCATAAATGAGTATTCCATTCATTCATCAAAGTGTTGCTATATATAGACATAGTAAGCGTATACAAATTTGTTATCAACGTCATAAAATGTTTCGCTGTCTATTCAACGTTTCTGTGAAGTTGTCTGATATCGTGTATAGAACGAATCACACGCCAATAAAAGTGATTTCGCTGTACCGGTTTAGCTGTTCATATTTTATCGCTTGATTGAGTAATCACATTTTGTCATCAATGTATGAACTGTGACCATGTTTAATATGTAAAGTAAAACTAGTTTAACGTTGACTATAGCTAGAATTTCGTTTTATGTACTTAATTGACTAGGGTAAATCTCTAATTAATTCAAAGCATATGCAGAGAATTCTACAATTCATATATTCTAGGAAACTGCAACGAAAACTATATATAAATGTGGATAAAAATAATTCAATTCGTAAAGTGTTTTTTTATTCAAGATCATTTTATTTGGTTCTGATGCCAGATATTAGATGAAATTAACAAAAACTTTCTTACAACTAGTGTGTCAAGTCTAGCCTCGAAAATTGGAAGTTACAATTATTTCAGAACTAAATTAACCGTAAAATATAAATACTGATTCAATTCATGAATATTAATCCTTATCTTTAAAATAATGAATAAATGCATCGCTTTGTTGAATTAAATATATGAAGAAAATAAATAGAATGAATGAATGAATGAATGTGAGAGTGAAATATATAAATAAATCAATGAAAGAAATATCGCGAATGTCGAAAAAAACATATTAAAAAGTACATAGTAAATTATATCACAAACAAAAAACAAGATCACAGATATGTATCGAATAACTTTAACCATTTTATCACCAGACTTGACACACCTTTTTTGAGACCATTTTTGATTCAGTGCTGCATTTGAATGCTTGTTGAAATTCCTTCATGTTTGCCACTACGCCATTCACACGAGATTCATTCGGACTGTGGACATCATTTCTGATCGTATCTTCGACTGATTGGTCCTTCGTATCCATTGAATAACACCATTTCTGTTAAATTGATAAAAACAAC